AGTTCAGGTAGCTGGGATAGATTGGTGAGTGTGGCTTAGCGGGAAGAATAAACATCTTTTAAACAAAAACTTTCTGTTTTCATATGTTGATTAATTTAACCCCAAGTCACCTACAGTCTATTAGTCATTCTAATAATGTGTGCAATTTAAGAGGATGTATAAATGTGGATATAAAGTACTTACGTTAATTCAGTCTGTGAAACATTTAATTTACCTTGGAGTACAGTCCAGGCTCCCTTGTATCAAAGGTTCGGCTGGCTGAACTCTGTTAGAACAGAGAACACTGGAACACTGCTAGATAACAGCTAAAACTGAATCCCCATTTGTTAAAATAGAATAATAGAAATAAAAGGCAAAAAAAGGTTATGTCTGTATTGAAAGAAAACCACTGAAGTTCAAGAGGAAGAGGAAATGAGAACTTCAGGGAGGAGCTAAACTGTTAAATGAAGAGAAGCAAACTTCCAAATTCAACATTCACTCTGCTCAACATGCTCTCTTTGCTCACATCCTTTTACAGAATGACTCTGCTGGTTCTGCTCATTGCAGCAGGTTTGTTTGACCTTCTGGGAAAAGATTCTGTATTTTTTATGTCTGTTTGGTTAATTGACCTGTTTGTTTTTTCAGGTGTAAACTGTCAGCAACTCACTGCAGCAAAGACTGAAGAGTTCAGTCTAGAAGGCAGCTCTGTTACTCTGTCCTACAGTTACTCCAATAAGATAACTGCTAGTGATGATTTCTTCTGGTATCAACAGTATCCAGGAAAACCTCCAGAGTTCATCATGCACATCTCAGGGCTCAACCGTCCAAGATCTGCAGATAATCTGAAATCAGCATCAAGATTCTCCACTAAACTGAGAGAAGAGAAACACCTGGACCTGCTGATCTCCTCTGCTGAGCTGACAGACTCTGCTGTGTACTACTGTGCTGTGAGGCCCACAGTGACAGGAAACACCAGAACTCTGTACAAGAACCTGCAATACTGCACTACATCCACTAGAGGGTCTCACACACTGTTAACCCCACTGATCTCTATTCATTCACTTGACTGCTGATAGCCCTGAGTAGTAGAGGGTGGAATAAAGTCACCAGCAGCCATATTGGTACTTCCTTTAGACCAGTCGCAATGTAAAGAATCCGTGCGCTACAGCATCGGACAGCGAGGATTTCCTCATTTTCAGGGGGACTTAAGACTTTTCAAAAAAATATAAATTCATCACTTTGAAACACATTTTCTGTTTTATAGCATAAGTAGATTACCGTCATTTATGATAAAAAAAAAATAGGCACTATGAAGTCAATGAAGTCTATAAATCATGTAATAACATATTATACAATCTATCACAATGAAGTTAATGTGTTAATGGAGCAAAATAATACAGATGAGCCAAAAGGGCTAAATTGATGATGTACATTTAATTTACATGTATTGATTACATTGTTATGGTAATTACATATTACATATAATTTTAAGATTTCACATTAAGACTTACAAGTACATATCTGTTAATGTTATAGTATTTTTCTCATTGCAAATTGAACATGCATGAATAGTTTTATACTGTCTGTGCATTAGCCTTTAAACCTGACATAGATTAACAATAGAACTAAATTAGTGAACTAATTTAATAATTCCACAGAGCTTCAGTTTCTACACAAGCAGAATCACATCAA